ACTTCCATCTCACGTCCAGACCAGCAGATCACACCGCCCTTGATTGCGGATGATATTGCAGGATCACGAGGTTCGAACGAGACTACCGTCTCACGTTCCGGTCGCCGAGTACGCTTACCCGTACGATTTCGCGACTAACCCCACAACTAACAACGGATACGGTATAGGACCCTATCCCTATATTACACACATGCTACACGTTTCTCTTTTTCTTTGATTTTTTCATTCATCCCGGGCCCACGCCTCCGACCATCGCCTTATTGGTACCGTCGACTTCAGTCTACCTTGACGAAAGCTGGCCTGATCACCCATGCTCTAGTCAACGCACTCAGTCGATCTCTCTGGCTCAAAATAATTATGGCATACAATTGGTTCCGAACTTGGTTATTATGTTCGCGCCTGATTTCTTTGCTCAATATGGTTTCGTCTCACGTCCACAGCGTTTTCTGGTCCTGATGCCTACGAACGCAATTTTCAGATTCTAGATACGAATAATCCTGGTGTAGCACGCTAACTCAAGCAACAAACACAGTACGTTTCTCCTGGTACCGTTCTACGCCAAAGACCTCTGATGGCAACTCGAGGATCAACGATCGCTTCCTGTTCCGCCAACGTTTGGAGATCAGTCTCACGAACGAAACCTCTACGTATCGAAAGTGTAAACCCTTTCTAGCGGGAGGCTCTTGTAGTGACCTACTTTTTATGACGAGAACACGATTGGTGTAATGGAAACAATTATTATTATAACCAATTGTACCAGTGATTGTTTTACTGTACTCGTTTTCTTTAACTGTACCAAAAGTACTTTTCGTTCCGTTGTCCATCTTGTTCGTTCGAACGCCCTTACGCTCCCCCATTTTACCTGTAATCCTTGGCACGTCTCGGTATTCTTTCGATACCACGAGATCGTCAATAAATATATCTTATCTGGACCAATAACAGCCTTCTGGTTTTCGGCCTATCGAGGGATCCAAGTCATTATCTGGCGCGTAACCCTATTGTAGTGGCGATCATAGTCAATCGCTACTCCACGCCATCTACAATGCCATCTAGACCAAGCAACACGTGTTACATTACAGTGGTCATCTTACAACCAGAATTTTAACAATCATTGTGTCGACAACTACTGAGACATGAATGAGCTCAAACTAACACTGGTCACACTTCTTATATATATATATATATGCACACGAGCTTGGATAACATTTTTCTAATTTCAGTCATATTTGCCAATGTTTATAATGCTATTTAGTACATCTGGTAAGTGAATCAGCGTACAGTTAGTCTGACCATACTAAATTGAAACGTGACACAACAGGATCCTCAAACGTAGTCTAATGCTTCCTCCAACAGATATTTGTGATGACCAAAATATCAGTATATATACTCAGTCAGACAAACAAGTTAGAGATAACCACTATTTATATTTGACGTCCAACTAAAAGTTATTTACACATGAAAAAAACTTAAGTAACGACTTTATGTTGAAATTTGTTGGAGGCCTTACTAAAATTGATTTAGGCTGCAATTACAAGCAGATTTTGATTTTTTTTTAGAGCACACTGACTATCTTGTTAGACGTCAGTAACCGGTATAGAAACCAAGGACTTTATATTTCTATTCGACACTTTTCAGCCGTCTCAAAGAGAATGTGAATTATTGCCAGCTGTTGTCTACAAGTTAATTTAATACCTTTTTGATTGCTGGCTCAGATACATCCGTTGCTATACTAGTGGGTGCTCTGGAACCGTTTCAAGAGGCATTGTCGACTTTGGAATAATGTGCTGTGCGACACTAAACACCACATTCATATTTATACCTAGCTTGATCAGTTTTACATTTCCGTGATCTACGTTAATCTGTGATTTATTAAACGATCAGCAACTTCCTATGAATTGTTGACAAAAGCTTACTCGTCTACTGAACATGAGTAGCTAGCTGCTTAATAGTGATTGTTCCATGACATCCCAGAATATCCGCTTGTTAATTCATGGATATAAGTTGAGGGGGTAACGATCTGGGCTTTTAGCATTGGATCGTTTGAAATCAATGGCGAAAAACCACTTATCGATGTATTTTTGGAACCGTGCATACCACGTTATCCAAGGGACTATTTAATAAATGAAATAAGTCGTAATATTTTGGATATAAGGGTTTTGTCTGTAATTAATCTTGGGTTATATTTCATGGTAAAAAGGGTACAAGTTTACACAAAAATATGACAACAAAAAAAGCAAAATAAAATGATCGCGCAAAAATACGGAAACACATTATAGGGTTTCCCGCAATATATACTATTGTAGTGTGGTCTACTTATATCCATATAAGTAGTATATGGTGATGGTTAGACATAAAATGTATTTTGACAGAAGACCGATAACGAAAGAACTGAAATGAAGCGCAATTGGTAGGAAAATTCAAAAAACAATGAAATTAGAGAAGATGGAATGATATTTACAGAAGGAACAGTGAAGATTAAGACAATTGGTTGTTATTTTGCAAATTAACTGTTTGTTGTATGGTTATCAGAATTTAATGAAATAGTCTGTAGTTTTTTTACATTCGATTGTCCCCAGTCGTATTCTTGTTTACTACACTATCACTGGGGTCACTAATGAAAGAAAGCCGTAGAGACTAAGTACAGTAAAGTTAGTATAAGATTATGCGAAATGCTATCGTTTTAAGAAAAATACACTGTAGATTGCATTCAGAGCACAAAACGCGATGACCTTTGAAGCAAACGGTACTGGGCTTCAGCTCTGGAGTGAACAATAACTCTGTGGTGCAGGTATATCCACCTAACGAGTCCTAAATAGGACGAAACGGGCGTCCTGAGTTCCACTGTTATCCACCACCCATCTCTTCTTTAATTAAATTTTTTGATGTTCATGTAAATAACAAAACTACAAGTATCTTCGATAAAGTGCATTTATTTATTTCTAGACTTATTTTTGAATGTTTTCTGGTACCATCAGCAGAAAAAAAATTATATCAACAATAGATTTTGAAAGCGACTGCCATAATTACTAATTGGAGATTCTGTATGAAAAGGCTTTTATTTAAAGTAGAAATTTTGTGGGTTTTAGCTGTCATTACTATTACTCTAAAAAAACCAACGACGAACAACTTTATTGTTGTACGGTTAGAAGTCTTAGTTTTATCTCAGATGACAGTGACCAACAGAATGTGTTTACGATCTTGAAGAAACTAACTCTTCCCTTGTGACCCGAACCGGGATCGTCTAACATTAATCGGTTCATGATCTTAATTAGAACCAAACGATCTCCTCAACCCTATATTGATATTTATATTGGTTAGTGATGAGTCAGTTGAGGCCAGATGGAAGTAAGATATTTATTTCAATCTATGATTGAGTCATACCCAATACCATGTGGTTTGGGCTTGATGAATGCCTACCAGTACTAAGCCTAGGTTGAAATCTACCTGCCTGTTTCCTCATTGCCAAAACATAATCTTATCTGACAGAGTGTCACGTACCCTACTGAGCACAGTGTAACTTCACAAATAGAATTCAATCAGCACTTGATAAGGCGACGATGTTTAATATCCAGTTCTTCAACCAATTTAAACTTGTTTTATTCAAATGACATTGTGACGGGAAAATCAAATTAAGTTAGGAACGTGTACCACTGAAAGCAAACTCAGTATTTCAAAGTGCAAGCAAACCGTATGGATCATATGGATCTTTGGTTCGACCCCAACGGTATTTTGTGTGAGCACTACTGAGAATTCTCACAATTACAAAATGTGTAACTAGTAATCATCTGCACGTCTGTAATAAAAGAAGACTTGGGTATTGTGCAAAGTCACACACTGAATTTGTACAATATGGAAACAATACATTGAATATGCCATTTGCACATCTTCCTTCAAATGTCTCTCACAAACTCCATCGTCCTTCCAGTCCTGTTGCTACTCCGACCGCTGTTGTTTGTTTCCTCTTATCACTCACTACACAAAAGTTTTAGTAGTAATGTCTCTAAATCGTCACTCTGATAGAAACTCTTTAGTGAGAAATGAAAGCATCTATCAACTAGAAAGAAACATAAGGCTTCTGTAGATTACTTCTAACTGTCTAGCATCAAACAAAATGGATTGTAATGTCCAGTTACTTAGTCAAATAGTTATACTGTAATTTTGAACTATTAAATTTGATCTTTACTAGGGAGTATATAGATATGACATTTATTATTGCCTAAGGACTAATTCGATTTGAGAGATACTAGTTACAGTCTTTATGAAATTCAAAGGAGTACATGTAATATAACTCCACCTGTAGCCCCCTCCGGGGGCTAATACCGGTCCCCAGCCCGAATAAAGGAGGAGGGTTTGGCATGGGATTAGCGACCCCATCCCGTGGAAAACTAACTCGCTAAAAAACGCTAGCCAGAAAAAAAATATTCAAAAACTCTAAGGATGTAATATAGTTATTGTAACTGACTGGAAGATTAAGAAACAGTCAAATAAAAACTGAAGTACTATCCCTTTGACTTCAGTTAGTTTTACACACATTGTGACTAGTCCAGCTAAAAATAATATTGATTACACTATTCAACACATGTTTTTTTCGAAAATATCAAATCTCCAAGTAAGTTAAAACAGTGATTTGCTTGGTCTTCTTTCTACCTACTATCACTAGTGGTTCTAGAGTTAGTAATAGTGGGGATAGTAGCTGTCGGTATGATACTAATTCTATTAGTAATCTACTTTGAAGATTAAAAAATCCACATGTTAAATTCGTTAAAATCTATTCACACAATATGTGCACCTTATCACGTGGTGTTTCACTATAGACGACTTACACAGTGGGAATTGTGTTGCATTTCTTTTTATTGCTATTGGCCAAGTGGTATTATTCGATTGGGCATTGAATTTCATCTGCGAAATAAGTAACCAATTAAAATTATTGTGTTGATTCGATTTTAGGAAGGGTAGAAAAATAATTTTTAGTCTGCACACATTTATAATTGTACATTAATTCAATTTGTAGCGCACTTTACTTGTGCTAATCAATATTATGGGAAGAAAACTACATTTGGTAGACAAGAGATCGGAATACTTAATATTACTAACCAATAAAAGTAAAGTTAATTTAATCTAGAAAGAACACAAACTGCTAGAAAAGGGTGGCGATGTTGTTAACAAATTGTGTACCACTGATGGGTTTATATATACCAGTATACTTAAAGAATAAATTCTGTGGTACAACTGTGCAAACTTGTCAAATATATTTTCTTTGATTAAAACAACCGAATCATTTAGAGTAACAATTGTTATACATTCACAAATCGTCCGAAGCAATTTTAAACATAAGAGGTGGAAAAAAAGTTGCCACAACAGTTGCTGTAATAATCTTGAATAGTCAGTTCCAACCAAGTCAAAAGCAACTGTTTAACATTATACATAACACGTGTGTACATACACTTATCTACGAAAGTCAACTGTTCCAAATAACAATAAGAATATTAATTGAATAACTTCTTCTTCAACTTCGTGAATAACCAAAAACTTGTACTTGTCAAACTGTGTCCATCAGATCTTAAAGATTCATTTATACAAGGTCATACATTTATATTTTCTTTATTCAAAGATATACTACTATTTTGAGAAGATCGACAACTGTTCACGTTCACAACTAATTGAACTATCATCAATATACTTCCAATTTTATGTAACCAGAAGATAAAAAACAAAAAGGAAACTATTTTCTCTCAAAGGATTGTCCAAGAATACACAAAATTTTCTCACTAATAAGAAACAAGAAATAAATTATTTACTGGAAGAGAAAAACAGCAGCACTCAAAAACTGTTTAATTTTTTTCACTGTAGTCAACAATCAAAAATTTCCTAATTCCTCTTCAAAAACATTCAACTCGTGTTAAATCTCAATACATTTCTGGATACATACGTACACACGGAGGTATACACAATTACACTAAACCACATTTGTGCGTACATAGGAAAAATTCAGATTGGCAGCTGACTGGAGTAATACCAACTGTTGTCTAATAAACGAAAAAACAACAGAAGTTGATCAAAACTATTGCAGTGAATTCACCTGCTGACTTTTACATATTATACAGTGAAAAAGGATAACAAATTTTCTTACTATTTCCGTGTCCAAGTATCAACGTAATCGATTTTATTAAAGTGATCAGATTATTACAGATTTAACACTTATAGTATCAATACTTAATTGATTTATGTATTAATACATATATACATAAATCTCTGACAAGACAATTAACAGTTGTCCTTTTGTGTTATTTGAAAAATCCTTGGAAAATTTTCTATACATTAAAAATCACGTGGACTCAAAATTATGATTGGAGAATATGAACAGTCACACCATCATTTAAACAATACATTTGCTAACTACAGTAATAATAGCAGTAGTATAATAGATGATATATCTACTGAATCATGTCAACTGTTATCTTATCCTACACAAGTGATTAACAATAATAACAATAATGCAACAACGAAAAATTCGACACATTTCACTTCATCTATTAATCATCATCATATTCCATTAACGAGTGAACAGGTGAATTTCAATGTAGAAAACAACTCCGAATACAGTCATAACATATTAGGTAGTCATACTAATCATTATGGACTATCATCTTCTACTAGTTCACCTTATGGAAATTTGTCAAATCAATATTCAACTAATTCACATTATACAACAAATCAGCCGCATTATCCTATTGTCACATCGAATAATAATAACAATAATAATGATAATAATCCATTTAGATGTGCGAATTCTTTTATACCATTAGTTAATTCAAATCATCATTTACCTTCTATATCACCATCATCATTATCATCAACCTCAATAACAACAACAACAGCGTCAGTGACAGCAACTATAACACCAACATCGTCAATGACAGCAGAAACATATCAAACTAATTTATGTGATCAAATTGAGTTTTCACTGAATTCTCAGTTCCTTCAACCGACAACCGAAGAATTTATCACAGTATTACCAAATGAAACTGAATTAATAAAAACATCTGTATTGCGTCATCTGGACCACTATTCACAGTTTGTAAATCAATCACCATTTCAAACATTAGTACATCAGTTAGTAACCAATACTACTACTAATAATAGTAAGCATAACTATAATAGTACTTCAAAATCAACAATTGATGATGACTTAATATTATGTCATACAAATATTTTATCTAATCCACATAATAATCATGAATTTTTACCATCATCAGTATACCATTATCAACATGTTCCCGAAAGTGAACTTGTTAAAATAGAAACACTAGTTGACGATGATGATGATAATGAAGATGATGACAGCACTTATCTACGTCAACATAAAGAACATCAACAAAGACAACAATTTCAACAACTATTACAACCAAATGAACATAACACATATATAGGAAACTCTCGAAAAACTACATTCAACGATTTGAAATCACCTTATCCTGAAAATTATGTTTCAAATGAACAAACAATAATCCCATCATCAATCATAATACCTTCGGTAACAAATGATGAATTTAATTTATCAAATAATTGGACACAAGATAAGATAAATACGTATCCAGATGAAATATCATTAATGTCACAACACCAACATCGTCAGTCTGGTAAATATTTAACATCAGCAAGCCATTTTACATCAACTCCATTATCATCAGAAGCAAACTTTGGCAATCGTCAAATAGATTATTTGAACAATAGCATCTATAATAACCCTGATCTGTTGCATAATACAACACCACAACGTTTATTAATTACAGAATCTAAACAACACGTGTCAAATATATCCAAATCTTTTGATAACAATGACAATAGTAGCACTACTACTAATAATAATCGTAACATGTATTGTCTACCAGTTTCTACACAAATCGCTGCCACTACCACTCCCACAACAAGTGAGAATTCAGTAAGTAGTTTTAATCAAACACAGATTCTTTTTGATGGATCCTCTTCAACTTCATCAGCTGCATCGAGATCATCAAGTTCACTTGGTAATACATCGTCAGACAATAATAACAATTCAGGAAAAAGACCTCATTGCCTATTAAATGAATTTCAGACTCATCTACAAAGTACAACAAATAAAAACACTTGTCAAAAGTCGGAACTTGTCAGCAACCCACCAGTATCGTACATAACTAATAACAGTTTCCATATAACATCGCCATCCCATAATACATCAGTAGAAAAGACTGATAAATATACAAATCCTGATTCAAATAAATCATCTATTGACGCAGAACAAATGATAAGTGAGAAAACTAAAAATGATAGACGAAAACAAACAGAACTGTCAACAAATAATTTTACAACTACATCACTTAAACGTACTAAATCAATGATGCAGTCAGACTCAACAACGATCTCATCGAAACCTGAACGACCAAGTACACAACAACAAACAACCTCATCATTGCGTAAACGTGGTCGTTATTCCCGTATGAAACAACCGGCGATGAGTATAGATAAACATCATTTGATCAACACAACAATAAATGAATTACAAACTTCACAGTCGACGATGAAAACAGCAGTAATGAAGTCAAATATATGTGATGATACAAGTAGCAGTACAGATGACGAATCTGATTCAGATAATGATGATACTGAAGAAACTAAGGTAAACATTTTATGTGATTCATATTTCAATATGTTTGTAAATGGGTTTTATGGTCTTCAAAGTGTTGAGTTTTGGCATTCCTTCATACACATGTTTCCTATTTCTCCTTTTTAAAACTATCCTTAAAGTTCGGTCTTTTGTTCTACTATTGATCCCACATCATTTGATTTCTTAATCATTTTTTTAAAGTTCATATCGTTGCGGTAATATGATATGGAAACTTGGGCTTATAAACATATAACTGAGGCATTGAGCTAATCATGTTTGACTAACAGTTCTTCAAAAATACTTGAAATTAAATTAGAAGTATATCATAACTGTAATTATCCTGTATCTAGAATTCAATCAAAGATGAAAACTTAGTTAACGAGTTTTTTTTTCATTTATTGAATAAATGAACTTTAGACTTGTGTGAAACCTAGAGTTTTAATAAGCTGATTGATAAAACTATAATCTTGGTACTTCACCTAGGATTTATTGAATGTAATTAATCGTCCATATCTATGTTTGATACAAATAATCAGTTATTGTTTTAAGTAATGTTTAAATGTGATATAGAAAAAACTATTTTAAATTAAACACAAACTTCTCTTGACTTCAGTTTTATAGCACGACAACTTAATAAAACACAAATTATCGAATAACTTAGTTTGATAACCATACAGCAACCTGATCAACAGACTACAATCCATACTAAAAGTAAGATAAGCATGAGCTAATCGGGTGTCGAACCCAGGGCCTTTATATCTCGGGACCAACATTTAACTTTTGGAACATTAACCTTGGTTTACAATGATTTATTTGTTTAACATTGATAAATTCACAATAACGGCCAAAAATCTTCCGATGTCACTGGTCAGTGAACTGTCTCACACTTAAAATTGATGAAAAGGAATGGTTAAATTTAATTTAAAAATATCCTAAACATTTTCATTTTTTCTGTGTAAATGTACATCCCAATCTATTCATGTAAATTATAACTTACATTATAGAAACTTTGTATCATCAATTTCAAAAAAAATAAGCATATTATTCAACTGCATAGGTTACCCTGCTGAGTTAAATCATTAATTGATAAAGACATATTCAATGGCTTTCCAGATTTTTATCTTTACATCTCTCTTAAGTAAACTAAAGTGAATATTTCCAACTTATCTAAAAAGTCACTTCACTGATCAATCCTATCTTTAAATGTTCTCAATGAAAAAATTCATTCTAATAATAATAAGACTCCATGAGGTCAACACAATATAACCTGTATAAAGAATTTTTTATTATGAAAAGGATCATCCTTTAAATAATGTTATCTAATTAACTTGTTTAAAAGAAATCATGTGTAACAAGTTTAATGTTAACGTAGAAAAGTTTATTCGACCTACTACTCTCCCCCTTCCAGCTTCCAATAAAATATCTATCCCACTTCACTTATTATTACTGTTGTTATATATAATGCAAGCAGTGAAGCATTAAACGAATAGCTCAATTGAATAGTGAAAATGTCTAGTTCTCTTTTATCTACAAATTTGATAGACATTGTGCATAAATTAGCATACCAGTTAAATGTATGCATGATATAATCTTTTAATGATAAATGACATTGGAATTAGCCAGTTATATGAACTATAAAATACCATTTTATCACATGTCAAGTATTATTCAATCTACTTTTAGACAGGATTACATAATCATTTTCGTTTAGGATAAAGAAACTTTTGACATTAAAAACATGTTGATGGCTGATAAGAAAGTAAACCAAATTGTTTATTTAGCTTAGATGGTTTTAAAGAAAGTAATTTAACATATTTTATCTATAGATAGAATTGGAATCCATAACTCCTGTTTCAGACTCGCCGACTGGTTGTATCTGCATAACGGTACTGATATTGACTCGAAACATAAGACGATGCTTATGGTTTTAAATGCTCAACTCATTATCCGATGAGGTAACAGGCCAGATGGTTACTAACCTTTTGAACGGGTATGAAGGTATTGATTATGTTTTGTAATCTCCTGTTTTTAGTATAATGGACTACAAATAATCTGTTCGATTCCTGGACACAAATATATCAAAATTTATGACATAATGCTATATTGATGCAATTCGTTCAAGATGCTTGTATGTCGACAGGGATCAGTCGGTTACGGTTCTGAATATCGATGAGAAGCAATTAAGAATCCGTAAAGTTTACTTTCACTACTAGGTGAAACAGAGGGATAGTCAATTAAAAGTGTAGAGAATGTGAGTGTGATCTTGAGTGTATCCTAATTATCTACAAAAACACACATAAGTATGACACTAAATCCAAGAATATTAGGTTCCTCTGGAAATAAAACCCATTTATCCAAAAATTCAAATGAAGAAAGCTTAAGATGTAATCCAATCCTCAGTAACAGTGTCGCAGGTGAGTTACTAATTGGTGAAATCTACGAGTAACGGTATATCGTTCGTAGTTTGTAGAAACCATCACTGGAAACTAATCTCTAGTGTAATTATGCAGTTAGTAATTTGTAGAACTAGTCAACACTAGTTTCTACTAGAACCCTTTACAAGAAGGATCTTCTAGAAGAAGAAATTTTACATATTTACCGTAGTAAATGATCAATGTATTATTAAAAAACGAATTTATCTTTTTTCACTATTATTCAAGACATTTAGCAATAGGACAAAAGTATGACTATGTAATGACACTGATAGTAATAATAGCCTTGTTTGCAAGCGATGTTTGTGCTGATGATGTCGTTTAGAGGGACGATGAAAGCTCCACGACCAAACTATCCAGCTCAGAGAACAAACCCACATCAACAAGCGATATATATATATATATATATATAACACAGAAAGCATTATAGAGACTCAAACCAACAGCTTAAAATCTTTATATATCTAAATTTGAACAGTTGTTCACTTTACTTCATTCTATTTAATCTTTTTTTCAAAGTATTCATTTCATTCACATTTAATGTTTATGGTTATTATTGTCTTTATTAATAAAAATAATATTATTGTTATGGTTACTTTGCACTTAATTTCATAAAAAAATTACCTTGGATACTCTGATTTGTCTTTCATTCTCTTCTAAGTCGATGTGTAAATGTTTACCTCTTAATTTGTTTTATTTTCTATCGTTTCATTTTTTTTCCTTCCCTCTTGAACTCATATCATTATTTTATTCCTCATAAACAAGCAAAATTCTAGGTAGTAATTACATGTAGTCTCTCTATTTATCAATACACTCGCTTTTTCTTCACTGGTTTAAATTAATCGTAAAAGAGTGAATATATCTACGAACTATTATATATATATATATATCAGGAACAACTGACGCTAAAATGTCATCACTATAAATTATATAGTCGATTATACAAATATTAAATTAAAAGAATGTAATGTTGCAGTTACTATAGCCATTTTCTTTATAAGGATTATTTTTTGTATGTAAACACCCACCCGATTACAGATCTGTTTATGTGTACAACATCATCCCCTTCAGTCGTGAATCAGTTGATGACATCCATCTTCCACCTACAAGCATAATAGTTTTCCTGTCTTGTTGTCACTTTACGTATATCCATATTTGCGTGTATGTGTGTGTACATATGTGTACAGCTATTAACTCTTATATGTACCTTCTATGCCATGGTAACTAAAATATTTAGATAAAATATTTTATTATAACATTGAGAAAAAATAGTTCAGTAGTAGTGATTGTATTAGTTACAATTTTTTCCCATCTTCATACACAACCACACAGAAATTCCTTGAGAGAATAGAAACAAAATTATCTGTTCATAACATTCTCCCTTTGTTCACTTTAAAGAAACAAATATACACTGAGATATATTTAAGTATAGTAACTCGTGTATCTATGTATCTACGTATTTCTGCAGATAATTGTCAGCGCGCCTGTTGTTTGAATTTATTATACAGTTTTCACTTGTGCATTTTGAAAAATAACTAGCTTATTATAAGAATAAGAACAGAATTTCATCCCATTTATTAGCTAACAACATCATCATCATCAACGTCGTCATGTTTATTACTTCTCATTTTACTCTAATTATAATGATAACTGATGACCAGATACTCTAAAGGAACTATTTTACAAACTTTTTTTATACAATTGTCACATTAATAGCTAATATAAATTGGATTTAAAGTCAATAATACACAAATCAATGACTTGTTATTTGGAATTAAATTACATCCTGTAATATGTCATTTTATCATTAGTTATACACTTCAAATATTTATCTCAGAAAAAAAAACAAGTAGTGTATAAATCAAAGTAAATAGTGTTTCGATATTTCTTCCTTCTTTCTCATCCTACTTTCCTAGGAAGAACATGTTATTGCACCTGGTTCACATGGACAGTGTCTACTATGGGCATGTAAAGCATGCAAGAAAAAAACTATGCAAGTTGATCGGAGAAAAGCTGCAACAATGCGTGAACGACGTCGTTTACGTAAAGTTAATGAAGCATTTGAAACATTAAAAAAACGTACATGTGCTAATCCAAACCAACGTATGCCAAAAGTGGAAATTTTAAGAAATGCCATAGATTATATTGAAAATTTAGAAGATATGTTACAACAGAATGGCGTTATACCAATGGGTATGACACCGTTAACATCAGCACTGAACGTAATTACTACATCTCAAAATGATGTAAACAAGAGTAGTGCACATAACCGTATAACTCAATGCAACTCATCTGTAACAACTTCCGTAAGTACTTTAAACAATTATCATCATTCTAATGCATCTATAAAACAACCAAAAACAACCATCCACAATAAATATAGTAAAGAACAAAATGAAACATCTTCATCAGTGACAAATCAACCCCATTTATCTAATAACAATAGATGCCTATTAACTTATACATGTTCTCAAGACAGTCCCAATTTGTTGAATTTCAGATGTGATTTCAATTTAGAAAATGGAAATAGGCATGATTCTACCGATTCTCTTACAGATTTGTCACTCGGTAGTTTACCAACAGAATGCAGACCTGAAGATCAACTAAATACAATGCCTAATTCTATATGTTCCCTTATTCCAACAACAAAGGTAAGTATTTCAATCAATTTTATTTAATATATCATTCATATATATTATCAGAATTTTTATTGCATATATTAACCTTCATTATGTTTATCAATGCTAGAACTTGAGTTTCAAAATAGACCCCTTTAATAAATAGTTTAAGCCACCAAAATCAATAATTCACTTGAATCCGCCCTCCGATAATAACTTTTGGTTCACAAATGTGTTTTCATTACTAAAAATTAGATACCATCATACAGCGATTTGTCCTAATAAAAATCATGATTTCAATGTATTTATCTACATTAAGTCATCAACAAAATAACTAACTTACTAAGAATTTTCAGATTTAATTTAAGAAATTTAATAGTTGAATTCATGAGTCAATTGAAGTTAGATCACTATGGAAAACTTGGAAATACTGGACGGTTATTTCCTCCTAGTATGGGATTTTTCAGCAGTGCTCAGTCTTATTAAGTAACGCTCACAAGACTCATATAATTTTACAACGTAAAATGATTGATTAAATATATTTTTTAAGAAATCCCATACAGTTAAGTCAGTCAATATAATTAAAAATTTCGATGACACAATTGATTAGTTTACCTAAGTTCGGTCCAAAAGTATCACAGATTGCATAACCTGATAACTTCACTAATAATAACACTCATAATACATAGAACATGGGAAAAAAAGAGAAAAAACAACACTTTATCTTTGTATCGATAAATAAATTTGTACTTTTCACGGAGTTGGCATAAAGGTTGAATAGATAATCTACTTTTCAAAAAAAATCCGTCGTTATTTTTTCCTTTTGTGACCACTTCAGATGCCCTGTTGATATACATATATATAAAGAAAAACATGCCTGACTAATATTGTTTACCACTTTGTCTATAAGGCATTCTCTTTATTTGCTTTTTTTTCTGTCCTAATAATGAAAAATGATATTTCAACTACTAGAAGTTGACAACATTTATTAAATATGCAGAAAAACAAATATTTCATTTACGTTTACAATCTTAAGATACCATAATTATTATTTTTTTTTGTATGTGTCCAGATTTGTTTTTACTTTTAAAAACAAAAAGGATGATGTTATGCATTAATATCTATCTGTATTCAATCTTTATTAGAATTATTGTTAGCTAGTTTGTGGTATAGTGAATAGTTTCTGGTTTCTACCTTTCACATCTATCTATACAGTATGAAACAAAAAAAAGGTTATATTCATCAATGTAAAGAAAATAAGTTAGCGTATTTTCTCTACTATATAGCAAGGTATTTATTATTTTTTTTGGGGGGGGGGAGGCAATATTATTTTGTAAAAGAGACTAATACAATAACACTCGGTCATTTTGTCAACAACATAAATTTTTTTTTCGTTTGTTTGTTTGGACAGAAAGTATTATTCGATGTTTATAATAAATGTTAAACATCTTTTTTTTTTAAAAAAAATTCTCTTCTCTTGTAAAATATCCTACTGATGATGACAATAAATGTAGTAGTTATTAATTGTAGGAATAAATCGGAAAGATTAAATTGTAAATAGGACATTTATTATCGTTATTATTATTTCCTTTGCTCACTTGTTCCTTTATTGAAATGTTTTTTTCACAATTTTTTTTCTTTCTCTGTTAACAAAATTGAATTGGAAGGAGAATAGAGAAAGATAAAATCAAAAAAAAACGCAAACAGAGTTGTAAATTGTCGGTGTATCATTCCATTTTGTTATTTGTATTCAACTTTTTTATTGTCAAAGTATGTTGTATATTCATCATTATTTTCATGACTGATCTCCTGATATGTAGTTAGATATTTATTTAAATGTTATATCTATATATTGTATATAGAATAGATAGTTTAAATAGATTGTATGATATACAGAAATGTTCACTTACATCTATTATAATATTAAATGATTTATTAAACTTGACTGTGGCGAAAGTTGTAATGGTATAGAATAATGAACCAACTGATGATTATATAGTAAAGGATATGTTGATTCGATATATATATATATATAAATAAGCTACTTCATTTTTCATATGTATGGATTTTGAAAATGTCCACGTGGAGAAATTGTAGACAGACCACATGTATATGTATATTCATACTATGTAAATTTCTCAATTAAGTAAGAAAGATGAAAAGAAGTAAAGTAAGGGGTTGGAATATGAATAAATAATTCACTTGTTAGTCATAGATCATGTTTCTATTTTTTTATTTATTATTATCTTATATATGACTTATCTTATATGTGGCTTAAACTATTCGTTATCAATATAGACAAGGGAAAATAAAGAGACTATCAACATAGGATATCTATCTATCTATCAGACTATAATTGTATAAATCATTTTACTAATTTGTTAGTTGTTTTTTTTGAGGAAAACAAACAAGTAAAACTTTTCAAAATTGATCTACGTTGAAATGTATATCTTTTTTTGTTTTGTTCAGTTATCAATGAGATTATCATTTACGGAAAAAGGAAAATATAGAAAGAGAGGGGGAGAGAGAGGGAGGGATAAAATTTGTGTGGTTTCAGTAGTTCTGGTCAATTAATTAAATTTTCAATAAACAAATATTAAGATACAGGTTATTTGAACTCTTAGGTCAATATATTACACTAAGTTGAATACTAAAACAGGTGCTCTTTATATTGTACATGTCAAATGGATACTTCCTCTTTCATGTAAACTGCATGGATATCTGATACTCTCATTAAAATCAATGTTATTGTTATTACTAGTAATAATAATAAGTATTTATAAAATGAATCCAATGTAAAATCAGTTGGTTATCGATATTACACTTATGATTGTGATTACTACTGGCATTAATGATATCCATGTTATTTCGGTTGAATACTTACTGAAATTATTGTCAAGCGTTTGTGAAATCCCCTGTACTTCAACTGGGTTACATATTAACCCCTTTCCGATACATCATTGATAAATGTTTTTAACAACAATCCAACCAGCGGTAACTAAAACCCGATTCAAAGGCACCATGCAGTTTGTGTTGATACTATAAACGACCCTTTATTAGAAAGCATAATTTTTTCTACACGAATCAGTTATATACAAGCTAAAAGCCATTGTTTCATTATATATTTCAACTAGCCTTGAGTTACTTTAGAGAGTAGCTACAATAAGTTGGCTACAGGTAAAATGACTTTTCATTAAAAATCTAGGAAATCCATCTTCAAGCAAAATACTGAGGATCAAGAAATTGGAAGTAAACTAACCAGGTCAGTTAAAAGATTTCCAAAATGAATTGGCAACGTCTAGGAAAGTATCGGCGAACAATCTATGAAAAATCTATTTTAGTTTTATGCAAATCGACGATCAGGTCAACACAAAAGCGATGTGTCTATCAATGACGTTTTGACAAACAGTTGCACTATATACAAAATTTATCCAAAATTAGATAGGGGCTGTCTAGTTTCTTCCTGGTTAGTGACTGAATAATATTATGTTTATAAGACAAATTATTCTTTAAATAGTGAATCAGTCTATAATATAAAGGAACAACTTCAAAGATGATGACATTTCTAGGAACTGCTGAAATGTCAACTACATCTACGTACTGGTAGAAGTCTATTGCTGCATTAATGTCAAATGATAACCTGTTCGCTTGTGTACAATTGCCATGTCCATCTTTAAACTGATCATATTTTCATTCTAAGTTATGTATTGCAATATTAACGAAGTATTTTCTAGCATGTGTGATCAACGCTGAAATGTCTCAAACAGTGTATTATGTTTCTATCCGGTGAATGGAAGAAAACCTTGGGAAACCCCTAAATTTATCCTTTCAGTATGACGCAATGAATAGAAAAATACCTGAAATTGAGCGATACATCATACTTATTAATCGTTAAAAACAATATGGATAAACTAAGTCACATGAATAGATTATTCAAACTATTTAATCTCATTAATCTTTCAGTCTGATAATATGGTAAATTAAGGTTTATCACTCTATATTTAAACAGAAATGACATGTCAAAATGCACTAGTCTAATTTGATATTTTAATAATCTTTACAACTTTTCTTCTGATATATTTTCAATTACAGGATTCCAAATTAATCGATTTTAGTAGTAATTATTCACAAACAACCACGTGGAATATGTGTACACCATACGAAACATTGGACAGTTTAAAAACCGGTGATCAGGCACAAACTAGTAAGTCATATATATATGTATATCCCAGTTTTGCTTAACTCCCACATTTAAATTAAAAATTTACAAGTATTAGTTGACTAAGTGATTACAAATATCTAGAATAATTTTCCTATTGATGAACTATGATATTTTAAAAAAAGGATAAGTGAAAGTAAATGAGTTTATGTCTGAGTTCATGATGCAGAAAACTGTAATGAAATTATAAAAAGAAATCTGGATATAGATTGTTTAATAATTATTATATTCTAACTAGTGAATAGATTCTGGATAAGTTTTTGAAGTTCTTTTAGGAAGCTATGACCTGTTACACCAACCAAATCAGAAATGAGACAGAAACTTATACACACTGATAAAATCTAATGGAAATTGAGTTATATTACAAATAGATTGAAGTTGAGAACGTAAACTATTGAGTCTTTAATATAATTCAAACGATATTGTGTAACCAAGAGTTTTGGATATGTGCAAGATGAATACTGTTTAAAATTTCGAGTGAACACTATTGAGGAACCCCAACTTGAAACAAAATTACTATCTAATAACCCATGATTTTTATTGGCTTCCCGGTTGATAAAAGTTTTTTATGAAAATTACCTTAACAGAAAATAGTTATCATAACACTTCACATTTCATCGTATTTCAATCAAACTATATTAGGATAACGATTGGAACGATGTCGAAAATGAAGTTTACTTTTTCTTATTTAAAATCATTTAGCGTACACTAAAATGGATAGGTGCAAACCATCACTCTTAGCTCATTGGAAACGATTTAGAATAGATGTTCTGCTATATGTGAAGTTTCATGTTGTTTTAAACTTTGGGTTCGAATCTCGCTAGGCGAGGTCGTGGATGCGCACCGTTGAGGAGTCCCACAACAGGACGAAACGGCCGTCCAGTGCTTTCAGGTTTTCCTTGGTGGTCTAGCTTCAACTGACTCACGCTTACAACTATGAAAAAGTATGTATTCCATTGCTGAAATTTCTAATTGGGATGAAATTCTATGCCGTGAAAAATTTAAACAAATCATTATACTACACTTTAGAAGAGATCTAAAAATTTGGATTTATTGTATATACCTCTCTTTAATCTGACGTCTTGTTTAACGTCCTACTAATCAAAGCATAAATAATGTTGAAATGGACTATGATAAAATAATTTGACATGAAGCTGACTACTGTTAAATTGATTAAACTTCATTGAGAACGAGTATTGAGTATATAAACAATCTTTCTTCATAATAAAAACAATCAAAAGTTTTGCCAAAAAAAAGAAAAAAAACATTTCAATATGGAAACATAACAGTAGTGATAAGATCATCTGTTTTAGTTCTTAAATGGAGATCTTTATTGAACCTGTCTTAATTTATTTGATATAAATAAATAAACACACAGGTGTATACCTATATAAACGTAAATAATCTTAAATCTTTACGGTAAATTCAATCAACCTTATTTAATAAATGATAACCATAATTCACCTGTTTATAATATGAAATGGTTGTCATTTCTTTATATACAATGATCATTATGCATAGGATACACAATCCATTTTGATACTGTTCATTTTTTTTGTTTGTTTTAAGCAACACACACATAAATGTGCACAAATACACGCACATGTATATAAACATACGAATAAGTTTGGGAAATATTGTGGGTAAATAATTCGATTTGATATGCACAATATCAACCACTAAGTATAAATAAATACTAAGCATTTAAGCATTCGGTAAGTTATTAGGATATGGATAAATGATCAAGAAGCCAATATCTGTATGGATAAATGAATGTATGGTATAATAATAATAAGAAGAAGAAGAAGAAGAATACCAAAATGATAGAATTGAATCGCGATTATATGTGTAAAAGTAATCAGTACTAAGATTCCAGTTAATGAAAAATCCAGAAGTTTTTAACATCAAATTAATTGTTATTCATTGATTAAGATGGGTTAAAGTGGAAAGATAATGACTGATCCTTAAATGAATATTGAATAAAATTCTAATTCCATTAGTGATCCAATGAAAGAACCATATTTTTCCCTGTGATGGTTTAAAATCATAATTAGTTAATTAATATCCAGTGGTTTTCATATTACTTGTCTATCATGACTAGTGAATAAAACATCAAACGAAAGTTCTACTGTTTACATTCAAGGGTAGTTAGAATCTTTTCGCAATATCATGTGGACTGTCAGTAGGGTAAAGTAATAATATTATTATTAGATAAAAGTTACTACTATTTATTAAGGAGTGTTTTGTGGGAAGATCTTTGTTATAAACATAACAGTTGCAGAGAAGTTGAAAATCAGGAATACTACATAATCGTTTCTTCCTATGTTTGGACTATTCAGTGAGGTTCAAAAATGAATTCGTACTAGACAGAACTCATGATCTTAAGATTTGGGAATAAGCAAAATACTTTTAGACTACCGAGTCGTAATTCAGTGACATACATTTTCCAATATCCGTTTCATAGTTATTTATGTTATTTTAAGAAATTCAACTAGGTTGATGGTCAAAAATTACTTTGAAATTTCACATTATGGATTGACTACAGTAAGAAAACCATTAAAAACTAGGAAGTACCGAAGACGTACTTCGTTTTTATATTGGACTCCCTATCGGAGATCGATTCCAGAATCTTCAGGCATCACTGTGAACACGTCCAATGGCTTAGATTCTTAACTTGACTCAATTCATGATATTCTCCTATCATTGATGATATTTACCTCATGTCCCATACTCCGACTAAACAGTTTTCTAGTTTTGATTGTTTTTCACTGGTTGTATAAGTCAAATAATTTTGTAATGTCAAGTTCAGAATTCAACAATCCCCGTAATACCCTACAATCAGAATAAACCAAAATTATCCGGGGAAGTATTGACAACAAGGAAATATTCAGCCATTATTTTGAGATATTATAACACAGAATATTACAAATTTCTTATAAGGTTACTACCCATGATCATTAACATTTTAAAAGAAAAGAAATATGTGTGACGTAAGTCACGTAACTAAACAGACATAATATTTAGCATTCAGTTTCATACCACTCTGTCCATCGCGAGCTCCCAGTAAATAAAAATACCTAAACTAAACAACAGTATACTTACTACAAGACTTGAAATTCGTAGACTGGATTATGTACGAGATCAGGGTGTGTAATACTATGAAACTTCAATAAAATATATCTTTCATGCCTTCTTGTCAATAGTTATCCAACTGATACCATTCCATGGTAAAGATGATCTTCCGACCTATTATCATCAAAACTAACTACTACAATACAAAGGGACATTTTAAAGTCATTTGAGACAGATGAAACTAGCCACTGTATTTTTTGAAGACGCTGAATTTCGTCAAACACTGTTTTCATGGAAATAGTGTTAAGTTTAATAAGATAAACAATAAGACAATCAAAAACTAATCATTGAACCAGAAATATCATTTAAAAATAGTTTTACTTAGTAAAATGACTGTTCAGTGTAATAATCTTCATTTAGAACTTCACCAAGCTCCTTTTTCTGTTCATTAAACAAATATAATCGCTCACTAGAGAAGCTGAATAATGACTAACTACGGAATTCAGGAAACATGTTTCGTCTAATTTGAACTCATTGGCTGGACGTACCATCATTTGTAATGAGATAATATCGAGACCATTCGTTCGTGATCCACCCAAGTCAGCATAGACTTATAAATTGTAATCCTTTACAAAATAAATAGAAAATGCAAAACTTTACATGTAAAATGGCTAATTAAGGTTTAATTTTTCAACAACATACACATACATCAAAAAGAGTAACATGATGGAGAAATAAACTAAATCAATCATAACAACAACAAAAAGGTTTGAAATAGAAATAACACGAAAGAAAACTATGTTTAACGATAAGCAATAAATATATAACTTATAAATGAAGATATATATGGGAAATCAGTGATTGACACATTAAATACGATTAATTTGCATGAATTGTAAATTTTCTTCTAAGATTTGAATGTGTGAATATATGAAGAAACTTAAAGCTGATTTAGGTAGTAAAGAAATTAGAAGAGAGGGATAGTGGGAAAATAGAAGGAAAATGTTAAACTAATCATTTATTTTACCGTTTTACTGGTTTTTATAAATAATAAAACAGACAATAATTCTCATGAAGATGATGTGAATCATCATACTAATTGTTAAATTAAATGAACCAATTAGTTTGATAATTTCTAAATTGAAATAATTAAATCAACTACAACAACTTGAACACCTTGTTCATGCCATTTCTAAAACTAAAAGCACTCAAGTGTATAAGTCATCTATAGTATTCAATAATAAATTGTAATTTTAGGTTTTCGAAAGTGATCGGTGTAAAACGCTAAATATATGTGTTTCCTACCATTTGTTACGGAACTGATGCACCATGATAAACTACAGATAACTCCTAATAACAAGTACCGATTAGCATAAAGCCTATGTCTAGGGTTTTCTGGATATAGTGGATACAATATCGTGTCCCTTAGACTAGTAACTACTCTGTAATTTAAATTCACTTAGTGTTGTTTGTTTGAATCTTCCCATTGATATTTTTGAACTGCAACTGGCCAGTCTCTAATTGGCAAATGTGCATACTGTGCGTATTGCCTCGATATAGCCTAAATTCACAAGCATAGTAAGCAAAGATGGATAGTGGCTAGCAGTAGAATCCAGGACGCGTGTTTCGTCCTATGGATAACTCAATGGCGTTTGAAGTGAACGGTACTAGGTTCGAGTCCCAGAGTGAACATCAACTCTAAGATGCGGGTACATCCAGCTGACGAGTCCCAAATAGAACGAAACGCGCGTCCTGGATTCCACTGCTAGCCACTATCCATCTTTGCTTAATCTGTAATTTGTTTAATGGAATTTGATCAATACCGAAGAGTAATGATGCTACAACTCTTTAATGAAAAAAACTTTTTTTAACAAAGTGATTTTGTTTTTCTTTCATTTATTATTTAAACTATATTCTGTACACTAATAGTTCAATTTTTTTGTATTTAATTTTCAGTTTTAGTATCAGACAATCGAACTGCCTTACAATGTAATGAAAGTATTGGGATTCCATTAGCTGGACATTAATCTAATCAAATAAAATTTGGAAAAAAACTTCAGTTAACAACCAAAATCTAATGTATTTAAGCAGGACTTTAGAAATACTTTATATATATACATATTTATATTTCGATAGCCAAGTCTATCGTACATCTAACGATTACTAACAATGTTGAAAGTTTCCATTGAATTCCATATATTATATGCATTTATCAAAACAGGAAAATTCACTTTTGTACATAATTTTTATCATACCAATTATCCTGTAAAGGAAACATTATGCAATTTTATATATTTGGAAAAAATGTACCATTAATACTAATAACTGATTATAATCATTATAAAATAAAGTAACATATTTAGTATATTTTAAATTATTCTCCTAATATCAAAAAAAAGAAAGATTGAAAACAGCTGAAGAATGATCAAGAACCATGAGGCTATGAAAGTTGATTCGTATTAGATTTAAACTTTTCAATATCATGCTCTTCAAACATATATTAGGTATGCTCAGTTACCCTCTACTTAGAAGAGTAATGTTTGCTGGTGTTACTGTAGGCTGACTGAAAGTTAGAGTAAATCAAAATAAGATGTGGTATCACTCCAAGAAGTCATTAACCGTTGAGTTGAATCATATTGGTGGCTGGAGACCTCTGGAGACCACATGATTATCGTAACTAACGGTTGTAGATATTTAGTGAAATGGGTCAGAATAGGTTTAGTTAGTTACACTTACTCCTTGTCTTCCATTAGGTCTTGTGTTTGAAAAATATTTTATAATTTCTGTCCTACGAATTCATTCCTTCATTAAATGATACCCTTCAATACCTAAACTTTTTATTACTCCTGATACCGTTACTACTTTCACTAATATGAAATTTATTCCTATAATTTATTCTTGTTTAATTGATGTGACGCGGTAACTTGAACTAATATACTGACTCAACGTTGCTTATGAATAACTAATTGACTTTCAACTTTATATTGAACCAAAAATCATATTCATAGATCTCCTAGGTAGTATGATACTTTTTGACCATTGAGTTGGTCTCTGACGGTCTACATCTTCAACTTCATTCCAAAAGTTATTGTATTCACTTAATGGACTGAATATTTATCATTTTATTGTTGTGAAATGACCATCCATTTACTAATTGAGTGGTGTGTCTTAGTCTCTGGAATATTCGACTAATTATCCAGCTAAACCATTTAGTTTGAATTCTGTTGTAATGTAGATTTTGTTCAGCGTTGCAGCCATATCTCGACACAGACTATGTGAGATACTTTTTCATTAGATACCGAACTTGAAGTTCTCACATACTTCTATTTGTACCCATGTTTAAATATATTATTTACAATGACTATTATGGTCATTTTCCACGCTCGTCTTCAGGGTATAATCGTTGGTGTATCTGGAAACCGCTATGGTAGAATTCTATTGTATCCGACTTACATTTCAATACTTACAAACTTACTCTTTCTCTCTGCTTACACCTCCATTGTTTGAGTTTTAGTCAAACACATAACAGAAAACCAGCTGATATTTTATCACAGAAATGTATGAATCATGCTTTCACTATCTACTATTTGAAGATATTATATTCAGTGTGATGACATTAAATCATATACATGTTATCTGAACTAAGTTGGTTTACGAATAACAGTGAACAGCATCCTAATATAGAAGTTGAGAAAAAGCTCAAATTATTCATAATTCGTTCAGTATATACTGACTCATTCAATTGAGGTTTACTTAAAGAATACAATGAATAAACTGAACAATATGGTGTCACATATCAGTAAATTACATTTAATTAACATCATATAACCATATAACAACTTAGGTTGACTAATCCTAATGGTTAGTTATCGGCTGGTTTGTAAATCAAATTGAAAAGGTTATAGACACTATAAATCTTTAGATAGGCGCTCATCCCCTATCTCAGACTCATTTGAAGGACATATTCTAGTTGCCGTCGTAAGTCAAACTCAAACGTAATAATAAACTTGTTACTGCATAGAGACTATCGAGATAGCTAACAGTCCTTCAATCAATCAATAATACCTAGTCTTTGTCTTCAAACTAGGTTCTATCGTGTAGATAATGCTAATAAATATTGTGTAACTTTTTCAGGATATGTGCACGTGAAAACCGATGCAAAATTAATAAGATAACATCGGATACAAATAGAGAAATATAATTAAAATGTTTTTTCGTCACACTGAACACCATTGCACAGCTTGATAATAAATCCGTTGAAATGAGATCTCTTTGTTAAATTTTGTATTGTTAATGTCAATATTTCTTTTTCTTCGGATTAGAACTTTCACTGAAATCGAATATGAGGTTTTGCTTCATTTAGAGTCCGTTATTTGGATGTACCTGGGCTCAGTGTTAATGCTCATAATAAGGCTTTGACTTAGTACCCTTCAGTTCAAATATAAACTTGTTATTGACCGATCTATTGGGTCCTCATAGCCACTAACTTGTTCAGCGAGTTTGAAATTCTATATATTTAAGAGATCGTAATTTTCTATTGTTGATATTTAGGAATTCCATTGATTAGTCCTACAATCCGACCATAACTCTATCAAGACAATCAGCTCTGGATACACATGTTTAGACGGAAACAGATCAAGTGTAGTCGTATGTATCGTCAACAGCTTTATTTTACAATAATTCATTTCTCAATATTTAACCTTCTAACTTCACAACTATCGGACGTTCTTCATTCACGTATCTCAAAATTCTTTTTTTTATCAACCACATTGATAATTAGAAATAATGGACAATGTGATAGCACATAATGGTTGAACCTGTCTCTCTCTGTGTAAACCTCAGATAATAACTAAGGTCTATACTCTGTCATACCGTTTACTTTAATGATCGATTTCATTAACCATGTGTTTATAGACAATTTTTACCACAAATTAATTTCCATTGATTAAATAATCAGTATCTATGGGTGTAATTTCGTGTCATTTTGTGTCAGTTTGATTGATGTGTACATGCGCTACATAAAATAAACCTTTAAAGTAACATGACGCAGTAAATTTCAGAAATTTTCACTACTAATAACAACATGCTGTCGATTAGGTTACCATTGTAAGTTAGAATGAAAGCTCCATATATCTACGTTAGTGAAATAATATTTAGATTAATTGAATTGACGATGACAATTAACAGAATACTTTGGATGCTTTATGTTACCTATAACCTGCCAATAAGACATGCCATCAACCTCGCTGACAAATTTTGACCAACATTTAAAATAAATTCGACCCAAGTAGTTTTATTATTTGAGGATAAATATTTCTTTTAAATCATGACGTTTACTGATTATTGTTACTATGAAAAATCAGTACTCGACGTTTAAGCAGAAGATGATGGATTTGAACCTCACTCCACAAAAGGTGGCCTAAGCAAACGATAAGTATCAACAGTTTCGACATAAAAAAACATATAGCACAAAGAATGGTATAGAGATTTAAACTTGCTTACTAATTAACATTTTCTTATGCGAAGTGCAAATCATGATGACTTCCCATCAGAGGACAGCGTAAAACCACCAATTACCTTCTTTTCTGTACTCTTTATCTGAATCATTGATCGGAATTTTCAATTCAGGATTCATTCAACTGAAATGAACTATTCACGGCGTTAATTCTTATTATTCAGCGGACCATAAAGCTTAAATTCTATGAATAGTTTACAAAAATCATCCTACCAATACACTTTGGTGCTAATTTACAAGTGGACATAAAATCTTTGAATCAAGTTTGTTGTCTTACGATTTCTGTATTCTAAATACTACACCTCAATGTAGAAGAATTTATAAGGACAAATAAAATATTGGCAAGCATACCAGATGTTTTAAAATCAAATCAACGGCCTAATGTGTCGTACAAAATTTAGTGTCTTTCAATGATTATTATCAGCATATTACTACATTGCAATATTTCACGACTTTCGCATATTGAAATGTAAAGTGCACTATTGTAGCTGTATACTGTTAAAGAGCATGAAGTTCATAAAAAACAACAATATAGAAATAATCTACACACTACATGTATTTCTGAACTAAGATTATCCCTAATGTCCACTGAGTGTACCGTAACCAAGGTTTCCAGTCATTTTTAGGCTCATTTAGTAGATATGTACCACCTATAACAGTGTAATTTTCATTAAAAATTTCATTTTAAGCTCTAACTTTCACTGTATTTGTGTTCTTGATCCGGTTGTCTGGCTATACCACGTCGGACATATCCATAGAAAACAGTTGTGGATAAATCCAGTCGTATTAATGTTATTTCATCGTATTTATGGATCACAGTAAGTTTTAACTCTTCATTGAAGAAAAGATGAGTTCTTTTGGAAGATAAACTTCTTATTCTCTTTTCAGTTATATATCACAGCATTCAGTGATAACTGAGTCACTATTCATACCTACTCACAAAAAACCCTTGTAGCTTTATTAATTGT